TATATATATATATGTATGCACGGGGTATGTTTTCGGGACACTTTTATAATAAAACACGCATTGTGGAGACTTTTGCATGATACAGGGACTGTCCCAGAAATAATTTGTGATATACCGCATATTTTGGGGACAAATTTAAATATCAGCATACAGATCGAAAATAGAAGATAACGAATGTAACAGCTCCATAATGGATATCATCCAGATACATATGCCACCAAGAAGGTCACTATATATACGCTCTAAATAACGTTTTTATGCATGTTAAAATTTCATTTTTTATATGTAGGATATATTTTGGGGGCATATACATTGACTCCATTTTATACCTGAAAAGTTATAGTATCTTTCGTCTTTTTTGGCCAGTTTTAATGCAATGAATTGTATGTTGTATATTGGCTACAAATTAATGCGGTTTAGTTGCAATAAATGCATTTTTTTAATGGTCAAAGTTATCATATTTGTATAAGGTGACTACCCTGAACGGGGGAACACAGGAATGGAACATATATATAGAGCTATTATTTCAGGGCTTCGGGACACATTTTTACCAGGGATGTGAAACACTATAATGAACAGCATAATATATATAAAAACTTGCTAGTATTATTTATACCTGCCAACAAGTTATGTAAATGCAATTCAGTTGTATTACTTTTGCTGTATATAATTTTATTATTTGACTTATGGCCCACTATATTTCTATTGGTGATATTTTACGTCGTCAGCACAAATTACAAATTTGTTTTAAATATCCAATTTAATGTGGAGGAACCAATGTAATTATTCGAAATTATGAACTTGTGCATGTATGTTTATGAATTAATTCAATATATTAGTATATTAGGATTTAGGGAGGTGAGAAATATAACATACAGAAGAAGGCGTGACAGACTCCAAAAAGTATATATATTCTTGATCAGGATGAGAAGACGAGTCTGTTGTTGGTTGTTCGAGCTCTTATACTTTTTGAGATCTTTGCGTTCATACAGAAGCACGGACAGACGGACGGACGGACGGACATGGCTATATCGACCCGGCTTATCATTCTGTCATCCATCTTTGTCCAAAATTTGGTGTCTCTAGCTCTTATAGTCTCTGAGATCCTGGTGTTCATACGGAGGGACAGACGGACAGACGGACAGACAGACAGATATAGATCGACTCGAATTGTCATGCTGATCAAGAATATATATGCTTTGTGGTGTGTGCCACGCCTCCTTTTGCCTCTTACATTTTTCAGCTGCCGCAAACCTATAAAAACAAAAAATACTCCATATTTTTATGTCACAACTTATTTCTTCAAAGGCAAGAATATGTACTGCATACAATAAGCTGTGAGCCACTGTATGTGTATTGTGGACAATCGAACACTGTTGTGTAATTTGTAATAGTGCGCTATGGTTTTAAATGATAAATCAAATTTTAAAAACAACTGCAAGTCATTGGATCGGTCTTATTGTTCTTCTTTCATTCACTTTATTTCATCATTTACGTCTTTTTATACCCTGTACCCGTAGGGTAAAAATGGTATATTAAGTTTGTGCAAAGTATGTCCGTCCGTCCGTTTGTCCGTCCGTCTGGATGAACGCAAGGATCTCAGAAAGCTGGAACAACCAAAGTTGGTATGTAGGAGAATCTCCTAGGTCCGAGAAAGGAAAAATTTTGTTATTTTTAATTTTCCATCCCTTTCTACGCTACAGAATTTCGTCAATAGCGTCCACATTTCAAATGCTACCTAAGCCAAACTTTGCATACATAATTTATATATAATTATCTACTGTTGTTCAATTTTATTCAATTTGGTCAGTAAACACCCACCCCGCATATAACTCAGTGACGGAAGTTTACCTGGGTACAGGGTATTACACTGCGGGCTTGTTGGAATGCAGCGTTCTCTCTTGTTATTGCTAGACAAAATGCCAAAAATTTACAGTTACCGTCGCTAGGCAACGACTCGGTAAGCGACAGTAAAGCGGAAACTGAAAACGGACTACGCATATTTTGCTTCGCATTCCGGCAGATGTATGCACATTGCACATTGGGCCAGAAAGCCGATTTTTGTGCATAAATTCGAAACTTGAAATTTAGTACTTTTACTTGTAATGACATGCATAAGAACTGTGCTAAATTTTGGACCGATCCGACCACGCCCACTCCTATCCCCAATGAACAGAGAGAGAGAGAGACGCTACAGCCGAACGAGCCCGACAGTAAAATACCCTGTACTCCAGCAAAAAAGAAAAAAATATTTTAAAATATCTTCTAAACATAATTTATAAATAAATGTATCTAATTAATAAAAAAAAAAAATATATATATATATATATTTAATCCTTGGGACTGTGTGCTTGTGAGTCTGTTTACGTGATGTCCCCAACTATTTAATATTTGTTTTATTTGCTTTATATGCGAGTTGAAAGCCTTATTTCTATATTTTGAAATCGTTGAATACCAAGTAGTATATCTAGCAATTTTGAATTTGTAGCCCAAAATTTGAAATCGATCGGACAAAATTTATAACACAAACTTTTTATTGGAAAACAAGAAAGGAATGCTAAAATCGAGCAGGCTCAACTCTTAATTACCCTGTACCACCCCACAAAAAATAAATTAAATTAATTAATTATCAGAATCAGGATCAGAAAAAATGAACAAACTCGTCCTTTCTCGGGCTCAGGAGAATCTAGATACCAAGTTTGGTTATTCTAGCTCTTATACTTTCTGAGATCCTTGCGTTTATACAGACAGACAGACGGACATGGCTATATCGACTCGCCTTGTCATCCTGATCAATTCATTTGAATTTGAATTGATAGATTTGGTAGTCACATCCAATTAGTGATTATATATCTGTATATCAAGTTTCATTACAATAGGTTGATTACAAAGAAAGTTATAGCCATATAACCAAGCCTAAGCTCTGTCCGCAGCTGTATTTGTTGCTGATTTGACATAATTATTTAATGCACACATATGATGTAATGTAAATGTAAATTTATGTATGGAATATTTTATATTTAATTTAATTAATTAATTTTTTTTTAGTAAATTTTTTGTGGGGTGGTACAGGGTATTTAAGTGTTGAGCCTGCTCGACTTTAGCATTCCTTTCTTGTTTTTTTTTTAAATTTCTATAAATATTCTACACACATGTACAGAGTATTTTAATGTAGGGACAGCCCCTATTCCACTTGTTTTATTTCTTCCGCCAAATAAACAAGTAAAAAAGCTAAAGTCGGGTGTCCCGACTTTGAAATACTCTGTACATATGTTTACAATAATTATAGAAAATAAAAAAAATTAAGAAAATAAAAAAAAAATTTGATCGATTTTACCTCTCTCGGTATTCGAACTCACGTAAAGGGTGTATAATTGCACATTTACATAGCAATTGCGTCTGCGTGAGTGTATGTATGCCTATGCGCATCAATTCGTGTCTGTGTAAGCATTTTCGCAGTCAACCAAACAGCAACATCAACAACAGCCGCGGGCAGCGCTTGAGCAGCGCTGCAGCATCGCTGCATCAGCAAATATATTTATGGCTATAACTTCTTGTTAAATCGGTCTATCATAATGAAATTTGGCATACGGACACATAATAACTAACTGGGGGTATTTCCAAAATTTTAGTTCGAAATTCCAAGAATTACGGGAGTTACGATTTGCGGGGTAGAGGGGGGAGGGAGGGGAATTCCAAAATATACATTTTCTGCGTATTCACATAAGGCATCTGGGTGTTCCTAGGTCTTATAGTCTCTGAGATATAGGCGATTATACGAATGGAAAATCGGGAAAACTCCCATAGGGGGGAAGTGGGGGGGAAAATCAAAAAAATAAAACAAACTCGTATAGAATACACACATAACGCATCTTTGTGCAAAATTTGGTGTCTCTATCTCTTATAGTCTCTGAGATCCAGGTGTTCATACGGACGGACAGACGGACAGACAGACAGACAGGGCTAGATCGACTCGTCTCGTCATGCTGATCAAGAATATATATACTTTGTGGGGTCTGCCACGCCTCCTTCTGCCTGTTACATTTTTCAGCTCCCGCAAACCTAATATACTCTTGTACATTTCATGTACAGAGTATAAAAATGCCAAGGCCACGCTAAATCAGTGCTAGAAGCCTAACGTTAGAGAAAGAACGTTAAAAGTAGAGCTGAAATACATATATGAATACCCAACTGCGCGCGACACATGCTTTGGTTGCCTTCTCTTTCTTTGGCGACACAGTGGATATTTCTCAGAGGATATTTATTAAAAAGAAAACAAATTTTTAAGTGTTTTGAAGAATTTTCGATAACAATATATTGTCGGAAAAAAACTCAAACTCGTACTTTCTCTTCGGTTATTCTAAGACTTATACTTTCTGAGATCTTTGAGTTCATACAGACATATGTATGTACATATGTATTTTATAATTTTTTTGATGCTGACACATATGTACATACATACACGCATAGAATCACAAAAACACAATTACTATGTAAATGCTCAGTTATAATCCATCAAAATTTTTCTTTTATAATATTACAATTTCGTTAAAATTCTATAATTATTATACGAAAGAAAAGTTGTTAGAGAAACAAATTCACTACAGTACTTCGCCCACATCTGGACACATACATACATGTGTATGTATAACTTGGTGCCGGAACTTAGTCTGGGAACAGGGTATTTTACTGTCGGCCTTGCTCGACTGTAGCGTTCTTCCTTGTTTTAATATTAATATGCGTATAAATTACTCGTGAATAAACTTTTACAATTATAATTATTCGTGAAAATGATTATTCTTATCATTGATGACAATAATTGTTGCCAAAAATGCTAATGGCATTGAACAAATAAGTAAGTTTTTTATTTGAATCAATCTTAAATTATATTATCTTAAAATGTAATTAGCAAATTAAAAAAGATGCAAGTCTCCTTTATATTATACAATATATCTATTGCAAACAATTTGTTGACATACTGTACATTCGTACCAGTGTGCACTGCACTGGAATGGCCTTGAATGAATAGTAAAGAATAAAAGAACCGTTAGAATTGTCAGCTCTGCCTTCTCTGCATTGTTTGATGATCAGTAAGCAAGTGAACGTCATAAAAATCGGTTGTGTTACCTTCTTCGGAACTAAAAATGTTTTACTTAATAAAGTGCGGAAAGTTGTACGTTTTTGAGAAAAAGAAATGTAAAATAATATCAAAAAACATTTGTTTAACAAAAATAAATGGAGCTACTTTTGAAGCAGAAATTATTAATTCCAGTGGTAAGTTGCATCGTAAATTTGGTCATACTAACATGCACACATACTTATATACATTCGTATGTACATATTTACGTTTATGTAGAATCAAAAGAACTTCTCGAAGGCCTATGCAAAAAGATGAATGAGGCGTTATACAGTAAGTATAAAATTTTTTTCACCGATATAAAAGAGTGGCAAACAAAAACTAATTTTTAATTAAATTTTTCCATTTTAGAGGCCAAGAGCAAAACCTCTGATGGTGGCGTTAACAAAGAAAACATTCAAAAAGATTCTGGTAAGGTATCTTGATTATTATAAATAAAGTTAGATGTAATACTAATATTTTAATTTATAAATCTCCTATTTTAGTTAAACAAAAATTGTCTTACAGCAGTGAAGTAAATAATAATGAAGTGGAACTTTATAAAGAATTAGGTAAGTAAATTACTTGAGTAATATTGCTGTAAGCAAATATTTCAAGAAAATTGGCAGTACTAAAGGGAATTTAAATTTCAGAGGGACTAACCTCTGATGGTGGCGTTAACAAAGAAAACATTCAAAAAGATTCTGGTAAGGTATCTTGATTATTTTAAATAAAGTTAGATGTAATACTAATATTTTAATTTATATATCTCCTATTTTAGTTAAACAAAAATTGTCTTACAGCAGTGAAGTAAATAATAATGAAGTGGAACTTTATAAAGAATTAGGTAAGTAAATTACTTGAGTAATATTGCTGTAAGCAAATATTTCAAGAAAATTGGCAGTACTAAAGGGAATTTGAATTTCAGTGGGCCAAACCTCTGATGGTGGCGTTAACAAAGAAAACATTCAAAAAGATTCTGGTAAGGTATCTTGATTATTATAAATAAAGTTAGATGTAATACTAATATTTTAATTTATAAATCTCCTATTTTAGTTAAACAAAAATTGTCTTACAGCAGTGAAGTAAATAATAATGAAGTGGAACTTTATAAAGAATTAGGTAAGTAAATTACTTGAGTAATATTGCTGTAAGCAAATATTTCAAGAAAATTGGCAGTACTAAAGGGAATTTAAATTTCAGTGGGCCAAACCTCTGATGGTGGCGTTAACAAAGAAAACATTCAAAAAGATTTTGGTAAGATATTTCGATTATTATAAAGTCGACTGTGTTACTAATTTTTAATTAAATTTTTCCACTTTTAGAGGCGATTGGAGCAGATGGCTTCGACCCCATTCTGAGTAAGTTAATAGATAAATCATAAATATAAGTTACAAATAGTTAAAACTGTTAAAAATTGCAAGAAAATCTGTGAAAAACTAAATATAATAAGTGAAAAAGTTAAAGTTGAGTTTACCGCCTTTAATTATTAAATTTAAGTTCGAAATCCATACTGCAGCGTACTCACATAGGGCATCTATGTTTAAAATTTGGTGTTATGTAGCTCTTGTACTATTTCAGTTCTAGATTTGTATATAAACGGCATCACGGAAAATCCTTAATAGTAGCGTAATGGTGGAGGGGGGGGGGGGGGGGTGAGTAGGTGAGATCCAGTTGTTCATTTGGACGGGCAGACATGACTCAATGGACTAATCTCGTCACGCTGATCATCAATAATATATATTTGTAGGGTCTGTCATCTTCTGCATGTTACATTTTCACTTTGCACAAACCTAATAAGTATTCGCTTTTTTCATTTTATGTATAGAGTATAAAAATGTGACTAATCCATAAAATACCCCGTGCGTCTACGAAATATTTCTTTCGTAATAAGTGAACAGAGTGTTTATAGTCTGTTTTTTTTATAGTTTTATAAGATACGTTAATTTTAAAATGTTAATTTAGAAAGCTTAATAATCATTTTTAATAGATTCTACAGAACATTCAGAAATTAGTTCAAAAGCAGTTAGTGGCTATACCGACACTTTGGAATCACTCGGATCTAATTGGCCAGAATCTGCAACATACGATGGCATCAACTCATCATTAACAATAAACGAGTCATTTTCATATGAAGCTCAAGTACCTCTTTTTGATCTTAGACATGTTGAAATACCTACAGCAAAAACACAAACAAAGAGCAAAAGACACTTTTGTATGTTCTGCAAAAAATTGCAAACAAAATTTGCTCGACACTTACAAAACGTTCATATGAATGAACCAGATGTTAAGAAATTTATGGTTCTTTCAGCTAACGATCCCAATCGAAAAATTCTAATTGATTCTATTCGGAAAAAGGGAGATTTTATCCACAACACAGATCAAATCTATAACGAAGGTATTATAATAGCACCTCGCCAAAACCGAATTAATTCTCGTAATGGTCCACATGATTTAATAAGTTGTAAAGGTTGTCTTGGCTTCTTTCGGAAATCGACAATTCGTTGCCATATTCGCAACTGCCGTGTTTTTCATCCTAATGGTTCGAAAAACATGTTAAGGGATGGACGCAGCAAAACTGGCTATATGCATAAAGCTGCAAATGACATATTGCGTCGAAAAGTTGTTCCAGTTTTAAATGACGATGATATAACGAGAAATTTATTATATGACCATTTGATCGTATTATTGGGAAATGCAGAATGCATGAAGTATAATGCATTACAACATGATATGATTCGGTCTCATTTAAGAGTATTAAGTAGATTGGTAATAGAATTAAAACAACAGTCGCAAGGCCAAATAAAGGAGTTAAAGGATGCCATTCATCCCAAACATCATGAACTTATGATGTCTAGCATTCGAACTGTTTCCCAGTGGGATAACGAACTTTTGCTTTTTAAAACCCCATCGGTTGCTACAAGTCTAAGCTCATTAATAAAAAAATGTGCAAAAATATTATTGACACAATGTATAATAAATCAAGATGAGATAAATAAAAAATTAGTAAATGATTTTATTGTCTTATGGGAAACCGAAATACCTGTAAACATAAACAAAAAAGCAATCGAGGACCAAGCCAAAAAACGTCGATCTGTAAAAACAATTTTACCTTTGAAAGAGGATATTAAAAAACTCTTTGATTTTGTTAACAAAAAATCCGCCGATGCGCTGAATGTTTTGAATAAGAAATTCGATTTTGAAGCGTGGAATAGTTTGATACGAAGCACATTAATAAGTCTCCAAATATTTAACCGTCGTCGGGCTGGAGAAATAGAACGATTGAGCATTGAAAATTATAACACCGCTCATGCAATGGAAGAAAATATAGACAAAGATGTTCTAAATAAACTGACAGCTAAAACGAAACAAATTGCAATGCAATACAAAAGGTTGACTCTTCGAGGAAAATTAAATAGAACAGTGTCAGTACTTCTTACTCCCTTTGATTGTTTTTGTATCGATATGATCCTCAAACACCGCAGCGAAGCTGGTGTCGATGAAAAAAATTGTTACATATTCAGCGTTGCAAGCCCGAAATCACTTGGGAAAGAGTACATTCGTGCTTGCCCAATTTTAAAACAATTTGCTTATGAATGTGGTGCCAGCTGCCCAGAAGCCTTGAGGGGCACAATGCTTCGCAAACATTTAGCAACATACACTTCTATGCTAAATGTTGAAGATATTCAGATAGACCGACTCGCGAATTTTATGGGCCATCATAAAGAAATACATAAAAATATTTACCGTGTCCCCGCTACAATTGCGGAAACTACAGAAGTGTCCCAAATGTTAATGGCAGCCATTGGGAATAGCCCCGAACGGAATAATAAGAACCCAAAGCCCGGTAAGTTTCTATGTTTAGCAAAATTAGGCACAATACGTCACATATATTACTCTAACTTACATATTCTCATTAGGCGAATAAAATAAAATCCTAATTGAATTAAAAATTTTTTTTTTTTAGCAGGTGAACTTTATGAGAAAGATAATTGTGCACAAGACATCGAAAATGAAGGTACAATATTGAAATTTTTAGATAATTGAATTGTGTATGTGTGTGACTGGGTACATGTATGTTATATATAGTATATCACTTAGGGACCCGATCAAGCTCTTGGCCATTGATTTTCATTATTCGTCGAAAAGACCTGAGACTCCTTTACAGTTTCATCTCCGGGCCCTGAAAGATATACTATAAGTCATATATGAACCATACTTAAAAAAAAAAAAATTGAATTCAATTTTACAGCTGAACCTTTTGAGGATTCTGGATCCGAATACATCGACGAAAATGAGTCTGAAAAGTCAAAAGAGGAAATAGTTGAGTCGCAGCCAAATCGAAAACGCCGCAGTAGTAAGAACAAAAAACTATAACATTATACAAATATAAACCAAATTTTGAATGCATGAATTGTATTTTTATTATTAATTTTACTAATCTTATTTAATTTTGTATATAGCATCTCCTTTTGGAAAGACACAACGCATTCGTTGGTCGCCACCTGAGCGAAAAGAGATGGAAGAGGCTTTCGGCAATTTCAAATCGTTGAAAAGATTACCTAGTTTGGCAGAGTGCAATAGGGTTATTGCTGCATCTCAATATTTAAAGCGTCGTACTCCAGCACAGCTTAAGTCATGGATTGACAATCAGCGAAAGGCTGAGTCAAGAAAAAAATCAAAATAATTTTATAAAAAGAATTGCATTACGGAAATGCTAAAACAAAAATTAGTTTACACTTTATAACTTGATACTTTTATATGTTTAACAAACAAAAATGAATGAAAATGTATTCTTTATTTTAAAAGTTTATGAAAGAAAATCATTTTTTTAGAGTTTAAACTAGTAGCATTACCGTAATGTAATTCTTTTTTATAAAATTATTAATATTTTTTTCTTACTGGAGCCTTCCGTAAACAATCAACCGTTAATTGTCAACGGAAGTCTCCGATAAAAAAAAAAAACAATATTAATAATTTTATAAAAAAGAATTGCATTACGGTAATGGTGCTATACAAATTTGTTTGCACTATAAAACTTGATACTTTTAGATGTTTAAATAAAAATTTTATGAAAATAATTGCATTACGGAAATGCTACTACAAAATTTTTGTACACTTTAAAGTTTGATACTTATAGATGCTTAACAAACAAAAATGAATGAGAATTTTATATAATTTTATAAAAATGAATTGCATTACGAAAATGCTACCAAATTTTGATTGATACTTTTAGATGTTAAGCAAACCAAAATGAATGAAAAGTTTTTCTTTATTTTATAAGCTTATTAAGAAATTACATTTTTAGAGTACAAACAAAAAACTAAGAGTCCTGCTGGATCCTCATTAATTAATCAATTACTTTGTCATGTATTCCAAGTTTTGTGTTCAAATATATTACATTTTCACAAATGCACAACAAAACAATTTGAAAAAATTGTTTAAAAATTTGGCTTATGTTGGGGATAATCACTTAATTATTTTCAAATATATCCATACATGATTTCAGAAACATATTGTTGTCATAAGGGTAGCTTCAAAATATTTATAAATTTGAAGGACTAATAAACATATAAAACCATAAAAATAATTGCTTAAGTTCCATTTAAATTTTAAGGACCTTTTTTTTATTGAGTGATGTCCTTATAAAGTACACCGAGCATGTTGAAATCAAACGTTAAAATTCAAATCCATCAATCCCATTGAATTAGCTAAATACATACATATATCAAGAAAATTTTATTTAATTATTTTCTATGTCCTAAAGGTATATATTAAACTCGAGAGTATAAGTATATCATTTAAGGTTCGTTTCATATTATTATTCTAGGCTCCGAAAAATATACGTTAAGCATAATGAATATATAATCATTAAAATTCAAACCTGGTTTTATTTCAATATACATATACATACATATATATGTATACATTTAGGGGACATATTTCATTTCCAATATACTTGTATATATTGAGTATAATGAAATGTATGTAACCGTTAAAATTCAAACTTGATTTTATATTAATGAATATATGTATATACCCAGGCATAATTTGGGGGACATTTCAGTTCCAATATTCCTGTGTCCTCAAAATATACGCTGGGCATAGTTAATATATAAAACCGTTGATATTCAAACTTAACTTAATATCAGTATATATAATTATCCAGACTCTCTTTAAGGGACCTTACAATTCCAATATTCAACTGTCCTCAAAATATACGGTGAGAATAAAGAAATATATATAACCGTTGAAATTCAAACTTTATTATATTTCAATATATATATATATCCAGACTCAATGTAAGGGACCTTTCATTTCCAATATTCGGCTGTCCCCAAAATAATACGTTGGATATAAGAACTGTTTATGAGGTTGCAACTCTACACCACTGTCCCCGATATATACTTTATATAAAAAATATTTTATATACATATATTTCGTACTTTATAATTCTAATATTTCGAGGACGGTGTCCTGAAAACATGTGTTTGGTAATGTGTCCTCAAAATAAACTTATAGTATATAGATGGCCATAGATAATGTCTGAAAGCTCCAAAACCTTCAAGCGTTGGAGCACGCAATTTTTGGGGCGTGCATGATGTGACGCTGTGGTCAAAACCCCAAAATTTTAGGGTCCTCAAAATATACATCCGCACATATATATATATATATATATATATATATATATATATATATATATATATATATATATATATATATATATATATATATATATATATATATATATATATAGGAGTCAGTTGCAGTTCAAAAGTCAGTAGTTCAGCCGTGAGAAGCAGAAGTGGTCGTCAAAAAGCCGTCATCATTATATATATATATATATATGATCTATATATATAAAACAGTTTGTCCTGACTGACTGACTGACTGAATGATTGGTGATCAACGCACAGCCCAAACGGTAAAGGCTAGGAAGCTGAAATTTGGACTCAAGTATCCTTTCATAGTCTAGGTCCCCACTAAGAAGGGATTTTGGAAAACTCGAGCTCCAAAGGGGGGAAAACAGGCTCCAACGTTTGTATGAAAAATCTACAGTTTTCATCTGATTAACTTTTACTTTGTATACTCCAATTCCAAGAAAAACTGTATACTTGGTTTTTTGATATTTTTTTTGGGGCCTAAAATATGGGAGTTTTCCTGTAAAAAAAATGTTGGGGCACAAAAGCAAACCGCGTCAACAGCCCACAGCCCACACGGTAAAAGCTAGGATGCTGAAATTTGGGCTCAAGTATCCTATCATGGTGTAGATGAGCACTAAGAAGGGATTTTGGAAAATTCGAGCTCCAAAGGGGGGAAAATGAGCTCCAAAGTTTGTTTGAAAAATCCGCATTTTTCAACCGATCGACTTAAAACTTAGTTTCTAAAATCAATTAAAGAATGCAAAGAAAACTGCATACTCGGTTTTTAAAATTTTTAGTTGGAGCTTGAATTATTGGGGTTTTCTTGGGACACAAAAGGAAACCGCGTCAACAGCCCACAGCCCAAACGGTAAAAGCTAGGATGCTGAAATTTGGGCTCAAGTATCCTATCATGGTGTAGATGCGCACTAAGAAGGGATTTTGGAAAATTCGAACTTAGTTTCTAAAATCAATTAAAGGATACAAACAAAACTGCATACTTGGATTTGTGTTGGAGCTTGAATTATTGGGGTTTTAATATTTATTCACTATTTCAAATGAAAAGTTTTTGTTATAAATTTAGTCCGATCGATTTAAAATTTGGATAATGTAATCTACGTAACTGAATCTACAACTTTGCATTCAAGGATTTTCAAAATATGCATTTTACAAAAGCAGGCAGAACAAACAATACAAAATATCAAACAGTTGGGGACAACTAAGTATACATATAAACACATACAAACAGCTGTTCGTGTAGCTGCGTGCAAACGATTGAAATAGCCAAAGCAACATGTGAGACACTAATGTGTGAATGTCCATACATAAGTGCACATCTATGTATGTACATATGTATCTACATATGTATGTATGTACATTCGTTTTGCACTGACAGAGCAAGAAATGTTAATTAATTGAAAATTATATAACATTTTTAAAAGTAATTTTTTCTTTGTTTAGTGCATTTGGCAATAGTGTTTTCATTAATAACTTTATGCAGCAACAACAAATATCAAATAGTTGGGGACATCACATACACACACTCACACACAACAAGCAACAGTTCGTGTCTATGTGTGCGGTTCTCTACGTACGGTTGAAAAAGTAAAGAGAAACATATGTACATATGTATGTATGCCTGTGTATGAATATAGCATGTATGTACATTCGTATTAATGTATACATTGGGCAATCGAACACAGTTGTTTGATTGTAAAAAAAAATAATTTTCTAAAAACAACAACAACTGCAAGTCATTAGCTCGCTCTTCTTCTTTCGTTTTGACCATTTAATGTTAATTGCAAAGGCAAAACGCCAAAATGTTACAGTTACCGTCGCTAGTCAACGACTGCGTAAGCGATAGTAAAGCAGAAACCGAATAACGGAGCTACGCATATTCTGCTTCGCATTGCGGGCAGATGTATATATGTATATGATTTGTTCTTATTGATGTCAATAAATAATTAGATTTTGTTATTTAAATATTCTGCTTATTGCATTCAAACTTCGATATTTTGATCGTGGCTCATCGCTGCACGGCATTGACACGAGTGCCGTGTTTCATATTCCGAGTTTGTGCGTGGCCGTATTGACTCAATATGGCACGAAAAGACTCAAATGTGAATTTAAATTTGGACTCAAGTATCGTTTCATAGTATCCATCATAGTGTAGGAGCACACTAAGAAAGGCTTTTGGAAAATTCTAGCTCCAACGGGGGGAAAACGAGCTTTAAAAAATATTAGTTATAGTGGTCATGTTCGTTTAACGAAATAGTTTGTCAAGAACAAAAATGTAACGGACTACTGAACAATTTTTTGTCAAGAACAGAAAATGTTCATTTAAATACCTTAAATGCCTTCCTACTGGTAACCTTTAAGGTGAAAACATATGGGTAGGTTATGCACACACAAAATAAATACAATTGGAAACATATTGAGCCGGGTTAAGACGGGCAATACCTGCTAGTGATATATATATATATATATATATATATATATATATATATATATATATATATATATATATATATATATATATATATATATATATATATATATATATATATATATATATATATATATATATATGATTACACGCGTACACGATGACGGCTTTTTGACGACGACTTCTGCTTCTCACGGCTGAACTACTGACTTCTGAACCGCAACTGACTCCTTTCTGCAACTGACTCTTTTCTGCAACTGACTCCTTTCTTCTGCTTCTCATCTATTTAAAGGGCTAACTGCTGAGTGGTAGGGGATGCCAATTCATCCCATCAAGACCACACATATTCTTACATTCGGCCATTCTGATTTAATCATCGGCCTCCGGTGACCAAGGCTCCTCCTCGTTCTCCACGTATTTCCAAAGTTTAATGTTGTGTTCACTTGTGGCTGTATTGCTCGGTCCCTCGACGTTTGCAGTTTTGCGAACATCATACCGACCATTACGTTTGACCTTAGTTATTTCGTATGGCCCAAGATATTGACTTGCCAGCTTCTTCCCTGTTATGAATTGTGTGCGCCGGACGGCAACCAAATCACCAACTTTATAGCCATATTCTTCTTTGCGACCTTTGTCAAACTGCTTTT